GTATATAGCAGTGTCCGAAACTTGAACATAATATTAATGACTAAAAGAAGCGAAATTTCCCCCAGTGTCCAGTCAGTCGTTATATAACACATTTCAAAATTTATCCAAAAGTTGTGCTTGTTTCTGTGAATCACGACTGAATTGTGCTCTATGACAACGAACACTCTGTAAGAAAATTTCTTTCAGAATACAGTTATCAAAACGCTACTATAATTTGACATCAACATTTTATTTTGTTTGAACCATAAAGCTGACAGGGACGTTTTTGTGTTTTTCCAAACGCTGCCCTAGTTTTACATTAATATATTAACATTTTATTTCGTTTGAACCATAAAATTAAACAGGGAAGTTTTTCTGTTAATTATGGATCTTTCTCTTGTTTTGTTGAAAATTGCTCTAGTTCGGAGGTTCCTTAATCTTGCACGATACGCGTTCTATAATAATTTATCATGAAAACGACTTTTTTTAATTTCATCTGTAGACAAACAAATTAATGCTATGATTAAGCTTCTCGAATCAAGAAGGAAGTTTACGACATTTGTTTCTCGAGTTTACATACTTGTCTCAATATCGATCTGTCGATCCTTATTCGATAATTACCTTGTATACATTTCTAATTACTAAAGTAATTAAAAATTTCTTAATTGCCATTAAGACAACTTTTTGAGAGTCCTGAATCAACAATTCTGTCGGAACTGCGCAAAATAATTCTCTCAGATGAAAATTGTAATACTTTCATCGCAGATGATTCTTAATCACGGATTCCTAGCGGTTTTCACCCAGTTAAATGAGTCAATAATAAAATATTCGATCTTCATCTTCTCTGAGGAAGTGGTTAGTTTTGATAACCCTGGCGTTGGGAATATTGTGCAATGGTATCAACTACGTTAATTAATTCGAGAAAATTGTCTAACAGGATAAACGATTAAGGAAAGAAATTTTAGAGAAGTATTGATAAAATCTTTTTTTAGTTTGGACGGATCATCGCAAAAACTTTTTTTGAACGGTTATTTTTCCTTGACAAATGTTAGTCTCGTCGTGTTAGTATTGAGTGATTCGCTTTTTATTGCCTAAAACTTGTGTTTAATGGTAAATTCTTAATTAGTGTTACTTGTTATTTTTTTACCATAACAATTGAGGTGCGTACGTGGGTCACTTTACTTAGTGTTTCGTTGCCTTCTAGTTTTAAGAGAGAATTTCAAGCGCTGAATTTTACGAAAATATTAACCTTTNTAACACCTATTAAAAGTTCAGAGTGAACATGCGGTTCGCGATATTCGGTTAAGTGGTTTCAGCGATGGTGCGATCACCTGCGATCGTCTGCGGCGATTATATGTGAACCAGGCTTTACTTCGCTTGCTCGAGCCGCACAGGGAAATATTGGCTCTTGGTCGTTTTTGTATGGATCTCGCTACGCTCTGTCCCTACTGCCATGACCTCGGGCCAATATTCCTCAGTAGGACCCTCCCGATCTGTTAAGGCGGCAAAATGCGAGATAAAAAAATCCCTCAACTTGTCGCGCAACCTGAGCAAATCTGTTGGATGACAAGTTGTGAGTTTGATTAAAAACGAGCAACAAAGCCAAAATTTGTAGCTCAAAGTAGACCCCTAATTTTTGCAACAACTTTCTTAAACGTCAAACAAAATGTTATTGGTGTTTGACAAGTTGATCACGTGAGGTGAAAAACGCGAAGCATCGACCCAAAACTTGCAACGAAACAATGTTGCGCGACAAGTTGAGAGTTTTTGTATCTCGTATTTCGCCTTTTTCTCGACCCTCACAGTAAAGTATGATACACTAAATATATAACCACAAGTTCTTTAGTGGATCGGCTGCTATTCTTATTATCAAATTTTAGGATTCACAGAACCACTTTTAATTTTTATCCATATCCCAGAACTAATATAAAGCCCCACAAAGGATCCACAATCAATGGCAAGAGATTTTATTTCCTGTCAAAGAAAGGACTGTCATCGACGGAGACGTTCCAACTTGCAATTAATTATATTATGGGAAAAAAAACTGCTGATTAAATCCCGTTATTGATTACATCGCAGTTCCACATCGCAGGGCCAATCATGATTTGAATTAATATACTGTTTTCTGAGTTTATTTGTTTTTGTTTCTTTCTGAGTATATTTTTTTTGTTTCTTGGCAAGAGGAACATCGTTAAGTTAAATTGATAAGATAGTATTAATTCTACAAATTTTCCTTTCCACCTTTTTGACGTATGGCCGGGATGAATCTCTTGGGTAGCTTTAGGTGGAAGGTTTTTAGCGGAAAAAATCGAGAATGCTTCACGGTTTCTAAAACTCGAAAAAACTCGAGTTGCATCTTTGCTGCGAGGGTAATTTGCATTCTTTTTGTTCTTTATTCTTCCCATTTCGGTGACTCACCTGGCTAACATTATCCGAGAGAGAGTCCCTGAGTTTACGTATAACTGAATTTCACTTGAATGTTTCGACTTTGCAGCCAAGAACGATCCCAACGTTTAACTTCAGCGTCCGCGCGGATGGAACTGACTGACGATCCGAAGATTCAGTTGACATAAACTTATTTAAGAGTAGCCTTGGGTTGTGTATCAGAGCCGTTATATTCTGCTACGACATACTTAGTTTAAAACTACTCGGGAATGTAACCAATAAATGTGTTTAAAAAAAGTTTTCTTTTTGGCCTGTTTAATTGGTATTTCCGGGTTCGCGGAAAAAAAAGTTTGATTTCTCTGGGGTAAAAATATAGAAAAGCCCCGAACTGTTTCACATTTTCGTCATAAGTTTCGTTCAAAAAACCTAGAAGGCTACTTCGACTTTTTCAAGACATTTCCTATTCTACAAAGTGGTCAAAAAGGGCCCCTTTCATAGAGGGCCATTTTTCAAGAAATGAGGTCCAAGAAATTAGGCACCCAAAATGGTCTTTGGGGATTTTAAAAGTTGTTCTAAAGTTCGAAGTAAGTTCCATATTGCATTTGTCATATCAATCTTGTCGCTAGTTTTGTTTTCGAATACTTAATTTTCAAAACATATTACTTTAAAATAGTACTTAGTCGTGGGCAAAATCGTGGTCAATTTGACGCAAAATTATTTGACGTAAATTTATAAATGTGGCGTTTTTTTCGACTAGTGGAAATCCCATAGAGCCGTGCTCTAAAATGAACCCTGCAAAATAGAGCGGAGTGAAGACGCTATATATAATTGTAGGGAAAGTCACGGAAAACATAATTGGAAACCTTGACCGACTCCCCATCCCCTTGCCGAAAAAAAAGTAATTCCACTGTGAGCATTAATTCTCTTACCTACCCCTCCCCAATCGAGAGGTACATTTGAAGAGGAACTATCGCGATTCAACTTGTCACTTAAAGGGTTTGACGCCTAATTGGTTGGTGAAAGTTTTTAAACCAGTCGCTAAAAAGGATAGAAACTACTGTTTCGAGTCTTCTCACGCTTTTACGTGAGGAATGCTCGCTCGTAAAACCGTGTTATTCCTTAGGGGACCTTCGCCCTAAATGTTGTCTTACGCATGTCAAACATTTTCTTTATACATCTTAAGCTGCCCATGCCGTACCAGGTCAAAAAAAAAACAAAAAAAAAAAACGCGTAGCAACTATGTGAACAGCGAGGCATGGTTAACTGTATTATGTCAGTGTTTGAATTCTCAGTAGGAGGGTTTTGTTCATTTGACGTCAGTTCAGAAAAAAAAAAGCCCCAAGCAAATTTTTTAACAAAAGCCCGAACTTAACGGCTCATTTTGCTTAAGCCGGAATTATTGGCACTTGTACGGTATGCGTCTCCTCTGCGTTGGAAGCTTCTTTTGGACTTTTTTGGGTACAATTTATCGCCGATAGTAGATTCCTGATTGAAGTAGTTTCTGCCACCTGAAGAAAGAATCTGTGCATTCGAACTTCCATGGCAGATACAGATACAACTTTGAAACAAACTAGCCCAGAAAGGAGATCCAGGAATATAGAAATATTGAATTTAAGAGCCAAAGCAGATAAAGAAATGTTTCCCAAATACACAACAGCAGGTATGTTCCAGAATTGGTTGTAGTTCTAGGAAAATAAGAATGCACTGGCATTTTTAATTTATACCGAATGCACCTTTCACAGAATGATTGCATGGTTTTCCCTGATCAGTAGAGCGGAAATCAACGATATGGCCTTAAACGAAAAAGCAGAAATGAATCGGCGTGCAAAGTAATATCTCCTTCACGTAGTATCTTTCCAACACCCTTCTATATTTTGAAATTCAATAACGAAGAAGAACTCGGGTCCTTAACAGTCGCTCACATTTCCTGAAAACTGAACAAAAGCTGAACCCTATATGATTTTTAACCATTGAATCGGAAAATCAATTTCCCCAGTATCGTCTAACAAAGCATGGTAGTCGGTTTTTATTGCATTACCGAGTTTGAACAATTTGAAGAAGCGTAATCATGTTTACTCTATATTTGAATAGAAGGTCGTACAATTTTGCAGTATTAATCTGAAAAGCAAGATTGATACTTAACTGCCACTTCAGTGATATGCCGTCCTAAATTAACTTAGGGAGAACGTTGGACGTCTATTTACTTCGTTGCATGGCGAGATGAATAAATGAATATTCTGGAAACATTTACTTTTGTTTCTTCGGTCTGGTACCTTGTCTGCAACACGGTGATAGGAAATGAAAATTACGACTGTTTTTCACTGTATAATTAATTAAGTAACCGTTTAAGATTCTTCTAGAAAAAATATTTGTAAAAACAAAAATTGGAAGGCCAAGGATCAAAAAGGAACTGAAAATGATTTCCAAGTTAGTTGAGCGAGCTACGAGAACAAGTCACAAATTATTTAATTTCGCAAGCCCCTTGTAAAAAAATCCGCGGCGAAAGGCAAATAATGAGTTTCAGGGAAGGTCCTGAACGGAAATTTAATTTGAAAAATACAATTCAACGACAGTGTAACTACCCCAAACAACCCCAATTTTAAAACTTTGTAAATGTTACATCGGCTTTAAATTCTGAACTTACCTAGGTCTTGATTTAAAGATAATTTTCAAATATTTCAATGACTAAGAAGAAAGAAAAGACGTCGGCCCATGCAAGCATGTTTATAATATGGGAAAAATTATGCTATTGGTAAGGAAATTCCTTTCTACATTGTGCTGCCTATTCATCCTTAAACAAATGACGTTTTGATAAAATGTGGAGAAAACCACAGGTTCCTTTATGCTGTGATAATTCACCATTGCAGCGGCTATGGTTACTTTGGGGTCCACCTCATCCACTCGGAATCGCTAGCTTAACGCCATATAGCGGCTATTTGGGAAAAAAATTTCGGTTTGCCATTCTGTTTAAACTAACATGTACAAGCTGCGAACAGTTTTGCTTTATCTATTTGACGTATATTCAGTTCTAGCGTTAGAAGCATTTTACCGTCGCGCGTCCAGTTTAAGAGAGATCTTTCATTTTCGTCGATACAAGCCACAACTGTTTAAGGGATTTTTTTGAAGGAAAGATGTTTGGTCTTTTCTGTCGCCTAAAGGACGGTGCTCTTCCAACGCAAAACGTTCTTTTTAGTTTTTAGTTTTCAGTATTTATGGTCATAATGCATTCGATTTCTCTAGCGAGTTCTATGCATCGCTATGCAGATTTTCAAATGCAGCCTGAGGGTTAAACTTTTTTTTTTTTGGGAAGCGTGATTGCATCATCGTTAATGGACAATATTTTGTTCACTGCGGCTGCTCCATCTTTTTCGAGATCTTTGATTTCGTACTTCTCATCCAAAAAAGCGACCAATCTCCCTCGTTGCTCGCCAGTGGAGCACTGATTAGCTATCCACTGAGCTGTCTGTTTGCTAGTGAGTCCTAACACGTGCTTTTCCCACAGATGAGTCGATTTTTCAACCTGCGTTTTCAGGATATTTTCTTCAGTCTCTTTTTTCCATACAAACGGCTTTGATTTCAATGGAAGTTCTGGAGCGTTTCTTTTATTGTGTGGCATGCAAAGTGCATGTTTTCTGGGTAAGACTCGCTTGGAATTTGATTTCAAAGTTTTTTCGTTGTTTTTTCGACGCCTTGCAGATATGGAAAGGTCGTTAATCTTGTACAACTCTTTCACGTCTGATGAAAAGTACGATGACAAACTCGGGTCCCCCCTATATTGAATAACTTCCTCAGTAAAATTCAGCGACGGTATGCATATTGTTTCGGTCTTTTTCCTAGAAGTGGTCCATTCCTGTGTCTGTTGCTTTTTCCTCCACCGAGAGCCATGCTTTGAACTGAATTTGAGAAACTCCGAATCCCGCCTGTATGCGTAATTTTTGACGAAATCGTTAATATAAGCGGCTTTATTCCTGGTCGTAATTTCAACTTCTTCTGGTGTCGAAATATTGTATCCTTGAAATAATTCTGATTTGTATGCCGGAATATCGCCAAAATTCGTTGACTCCTCAGTTTCTCTCTGATTTTTCCATGGATGTTTAAAAGATGGATTTTTCCACACAGCATCATCCATTGCGTGGGGTTTGTTTTTCGATGAATTCGCGGCAGGCTTTGCTGTCGAAGAAGAGTATCGGTCTCCGTTGACAGAGGGCAGAAAGGGTTGTCTCCAATTCATGCCTCATTTAGTTTCAGAGAGAAATGTTTATCCTCGTGCAACGTAGAAATAATAAACTTGGTTTTGCAGGCCAGTTGCTAAGAACCATAACAGATGGTGTGAACATTGGACCAAAATTCAAAACAAATCGAATTACCTTGTAAAACTCTTTTAAGCAGTCGATTCCCCATTGGTAGAATTTTAAACCACCACTGGCCTAATTACACCACGTCCCCTTTGTTTCACGATGTCTTGTGTCAAATAAAACAGTTTTATGATGAAAAATAGATAGCTATTGATACAAAACGGCAGGATGTAATAGCAAGACCTTTTCTTAATGATCCCAAAATATATGTGTGGGCCACTACAGGAATTATTTTAGAAAATATAAAAGTAGCTATGCCCGAGTATAGCGCTCAATTTTTGAAGTATGTCCAAATTTTTTTGAGGAACTTTCTTGAAATGAGTCTCTGGAAATAATCTTTTTGTTTGTGTTATTTTTTAACGACGGCTATAGCAATGAAATTGTCAAAGGGCTCAGGATTGATCACGGGCTGGGAATATTGCGCGTTTTAAATCGGTTATAACGCGAGGACAATTAAAGAAAATTTTTTCAACTGTCGTTTCGCGTTGAAATAGAAAGGACAATGTAAAAGATAGTTACCGTCATATGATCGCAGCACGAACTAACTGCCAGTGAATCAGAGCATGAGAATGTGGGGTAGAACATGGTAAAACGGACTGTTCTTAGGCTTAGTGGAAAATTATATCGGGTGAACTGTTCACGGTTATAAGAATCATATCTCTTTAGTTCGACCAGACCTAAAAAGGAAAAGGCTCCGTCAACCACATTAACAGTTAGAACTTCTCTCCGTTACGGGAAAATAAAAATGTTAAAATTAATTTGAAGTGTTTCAAAAAGTTAATGACACATAGGTAAAACAGTCTAAAACACATCAGCTCAGACAGGTCGTTTACTTCTTTCTTATCAGGATTGAAAAAATACTTAAAAAACGATAATTAGAGTACTATAAGAATTGCAATAGGCATATATGGCATTTACCTTCAGCAAAAATATTACAATAAAAGAGAGGAGAAAACTTATCCTTTATCATGCTATATATGCAGACACATAATGTATATAAACAGTTTGGAGATTTGATCGTAGATAGGAAAAAATTTATCCTGTTCACATGCTTTTCGACGACCGGTAGTTGAATTCTCTCAGTTTTTACGCCTAACGGCTAAATTTTTGGACACTTTACGGCTAACGGTTTACTCCATTGAAACATTCTACTAGCTTTACTGGTGTGGTATTTTTTTTTTTTTTTTTTTTTAACAATGAGATCTTTTCCTCATATTTTCTGAATATTCCTTGGCGGTGTGAAAAATTTCAACCTCGTCGCTCTGATGTACTAATTAGAAGCGATGCGACAGTGGTCGTTTTCTTGTGTCAAATAGTAACAGGCTAAAAAATCTGTGATTTTCAGGTTAAAAAGGCCCGAAAAATACATCGTCTTGTTATCTTCAATTATCTCGTGCAGAAAATGATTCAAATGCAGTAATTAACAAATGGTAAACACCACAGCGTACACTATTGAGTTATGGATGCACGCGGGAGGTTGCTAAGCACGAAAGAAGCGTAAGAGTCGCTCGAGGCGATAGCCGAGAGCGACTCTAGCTTCTTGAGTGCTTAGCAAACCTCCCAAGTGCATCCATAACTCAATAGTGTACGCTGTGGTGTTTACCATTTGTTTTATAACATAACATTCACACATTGTAGCTAAAGAGTTCCCTTTTATTTAACAAATCTTACGTGACCAGAAAAAACAAGCGCGCGCGGAAAAATAGTCTTTGCATTTGCTCACGTCAGCAGCGTACACCCATGGGCAAATGGGGGACGCTAAATTGACCAATCAGAGCGCGCGCTTTACTTTGGTTATGTTATAATGATTTTTTGAGGACTGGCGGCATACAGCTTATCAGGTTTAGAAGAAATCGCCCCGGCCTTTCCTGAAGGCTCAAGCTGCTTTTTGTAAAAGTAATTTTCAACCTGATGTCATTTCTGATTGAACGTTTTGGATGTTTTTTTGTTGAAAGGGTAGCTTCGCTTATCAGAATATAAATTTCTATGTTTCCATATAAGTCAGGTTTAATTTTAATTAATAAAGGCTGAAAGTTTCTAAAGAAACTGTGGTGCTGCGTCGGTGGGGGTAATAAAGTAATTTGATTATATCAACTAAGTTGAAATTGTAAATTGGCCACCGTAACGAATAAAAAAGCTGACGTTTGGAGCGTTAACCCTTCGCCATTCGCTCTGACGAAGGGTTAACGCTCGAAACGTCAGCTTTTTTATTCGTAACTGTGGCCAATTTACAATTTCAACTTAGTTTGAATTAAACTGAGTTTTTGCATTCAGGAATTTAGAGCCTCTGTTAATGGACCCCATGACCACCCCCGCCCGGCTCGGTTTCTAGGATCTCGCCTCCTCTCTTCGCCATAATTAACATTGTAAAAACAAACAAATAAACGAAAAAAAAAAAAAATTGAATATTGCGCTGAAAGCATTTTTTCTTCAGGTCTCTTTTTATTTGCTCTCGTTGAGTTGACATCGGTTTCGTCGTTCGTCGGGGTCGCTGAATTGGTTCTGTTTTTCATTTTCATTAAGTTTAAAATAGCAGGTCAGCCTTGGGGACAAAAAAAACTTCATCAAACCCGCTATGCCTCTTCTTTACAGTGCTGTTCTGCCTGAAATCCTAAGGTCAAGGATCCGAGACCTGGAAACTACCCACAATTCCTTTCGATGTTATCGCGTGTATTTTCGCTTTTTTCAGATAACTTTCAATTTCTGTAAACAGCTGTAACCACTTGGGCGGCTAAAACTGTTTCCGGAACCCGTGTGTTTTAGGCCAGCGGAGAAACTGGTGAAGAGTCGACAGCTGTTACAACTCACAACTCCATGTGAAAGCTCCGTCAAGTTGTTTAGAGGGGGAGGGTTATCTCGTGTACCTGAGACCTAATAAGTGAAGGCTTTGGGGTGTTGTTGGTTGACTGTTGGTGAAAGTTGATTAGATTAATAACGGATCAAGACTTCGAAAAAAGAACTGAGAGTGTGAATCAAAGAGTTGAAGCATTTATAAAGAAATTTACCAGGAGGTCGGTTGACGACTTGCATTCACACGCAGTGGGCAAAAAGGGAAATAAAAGCTGATTATTCAAACACTAGAACGACCTTTTTACTTAGACCGGCGCGTGTTGTTATAATGCAATGTTTTGACTTCCCTTGTGAGTTCCACAATGAGATCGCGTGGTCCTTTGTTTAAAAGAGATTTGGAATCAGAGCTTTAGATCTCGAGCACACAAAGAAATTGTTCATACTTGAAGTAACAAATGTCTTTGCAAAGCAGCAAGTTCTGGTTAAACGAAGTGACCTGGTCGAACAACTCGATCCGTTTAAAAGTAGTGTTTTGTGATTCATATCTTGCCGGCACAATTTTAAGTCAACTTCCTAACAGATAGTGGCTACGATTGACATATTTATGCTTGCTAAAGCAGATTCTAAAAGCTTCTTTTCTTTATTAACTTAATTTGAGACATTATTTCGCAAATACGTGCTTCAAATTGTTCAGCATTTCTTCCGATGAAGTGTTCGTCTTAAATCTTCCGCTTAAAAATCGTAGAAATTTCGATCCAAAAGCGAAATGACAAGTGAACAAAAGGCCATTCTGCAGAATGTTTACAAAAGTCAAATCGTTTTCAAGGAAATTCACGACGTTTTAAAGACGTTACAATTAAAGTTATGTCACATTTTTACATCGGAAAAGGAAGACAATGTAACGTCACTTAGAAACGAAATCGCTACCTGTAAACTCGGAAGCAGAAGAATAATAGAAAATTAGGTCGCACAGTGAAGGAAGTTTAGTTTTATCCCTTATAGGAGTGATTTGCTCTATCATTTTGTGAGGTCAGCTGCGAAGATTAATTCAGATGACAGGCTAAACGCTGCGGAGTTTACAAAAGAGAGCCAAATTGATTCGGCCCCTGAAGAAGTTGCCTATTGTTTTGGCCAGCTGGCATATTTTAATTAGAGTTTACTTAATAATTCTTTTGTGAGAGGAGCTGTTGTCAATAGAGATAGCATATGGACTAAAGAGAGCGCATAAGGAAAAAAAAAACTGACTCGTAGGAAGAGGTGCTTGCAAACATTTCAGGTATTTCTGTAATTCAGTATATTCCACATTTTCTTAATCTCTTGTTTTGTAATTTTTTTTCCACATCAGCGGCACCACGCAAAATCTTAGAGAAAACTGAACTAATCCGATTCAATACGGCGATAAAATCATTTGAATCTTGCGTTCAATGCTTGTTCGTGAGGTTAAAAATCTATGTCACAATTTGCATATCGAGAAAGCCGTGTTTTACGGCGAAATCGAGATATCAGTTCTTTTACTATGGATAAATATTTCCTTGTTTCATTTCCTGAAAGGCGATGCGTTTTCAGAGTCAAATTTCGATTAGGTATCACAGAAAATTTCCGTCTGAACTTCAAGCTTTGCAAATGCAGTGTAAGTTTCGACATTATCAGCGACAGATTCAAAACGTTTCCTATGAATCTGGGCGCGATCCTTATAAATTAGAGATTCCAGCGGAAAAGATGTTTCGTAAAGAAAAACAATATCTTAGAGTTTCAGCCCTGTTTCATAATTGATGTATTCGCGATTATATATCTCACTCCGTGGCGTTTTGCCAAACGGACATCTGCTTAGATTTTTAATTAGCTGGTGAAACTCGCTGCTTCGAATAACTTATCGTGGTTGAGAATCGAGTTTATAGTTTCATACACCTGCAATGCTAGTAGTCTGCTAAACAATGGCGAAATGTTGTGTCAGGCCTTGTCTTAGACCTAAAATCGAGCAGTGCTAGTTTCGGCATTGTTTGTAAATATAAGTATGAGATTTGCTCGGCAAACGAAACGTGTCAATCTTCATTGAAAACTTTACATCGTAGCATGAATTTAACATCCATAAAAATCAACAAAATGAAGAAAATAAAAAATGAGAAATTGTCTCCAAACTGAGTACTGAAGTTCCGATTCGTGGCGATTTTCCGCTCTCTAATTGGTCGGAATCGTCTCAGAAATTAATGATACTATTTATAACTTTTTTTTCGCAAGTTTGTTCGCGAAGTCGTTTTCGAACGGTTTCGCAAAGAATCAAATGATTAGTCGAGACATACTTCCTATAGGTAATATTTTCCAATACCACTACGGCATAGCAGGAAAGAAAAGTATTTCGACTTCATGAATTATACACGAGAAAGCATGCCACTTTGAACAATAAAATATTCGCCCATCTGGCTCGTAATTTATTCTACCGTGAACTGTATCCAGCGGTTCATATTTTCAAACGGCAGCTTGAAGACTCACATCCGAGCAACAAACGGAGCACTTGACTAAACAAGGCATGCATTTGGAGTGAAATCGCTCGCTCGTGAAGATCATTAATTACTCAGGGCGCTCGACACATCAAAACTCACTTCAAATCACAACTGATAGAGAGAGAGAGTGAGTCACCGGCAGCTGCTTGTTACCGACTGTGTTATTCTCCAGTGGGGATAATACGACAGCGAAGGAACTACAAGCGCGTATTTAATAGCTTGAAATGGATCTGCGAGTTGTTCATGGAACCCGTGATTCTATCGTAGGGAGCATGTTTGCGCCTCGAGTGGAAAACCGAGAAGAGCCACAGTTTGCTGATTTCCGAAGCAGGGAGGCGGACAATATGAGACGGCCAGATGTCAGGCATAAGCCGTTCATGCAGCCAGTGTACAGAACATCCAAGGACATCGACAGCAGACAGCGAATCACGCCATCAGAACGACTCAACGGAGTGATTCGGCCCGAATTCACGAGGTGAGCCAACGAGGTTATTTCAATAATATTTGATCGACAATTCCTGGGTGGATTATTGAGAAAAATATATTGTGAGTATTCTCGGTGACTTAAGGAATAATTGAATTAGAAATCGGCTTTAAAAGAAGCTCTTGTCTCCCGCAAGGTTTTACCTATCCGACATACCTCCTACAAGGGCGGTAAATACGGCAAGTTATTTACTTCAACAATAGTTCTAAACTTGGCAATTTGAATATGACAATCTCACACAATGATGAATTTCAATCGGGACATCTCTTGTTCAAATCAGTCAACTTAAATTTTACCATGTCCTTAATTTTTATGTATTATTAATATTGCCTTCATTTGTTTTGCCATGTTTGTCATCTAATTTAATGAAAATTACACATTTGTCGAGGTTACACAATTACCCCGGCGAAAATTGCACAAACTGTTCATTAAAATTTGGTTTTAAACGGAGCCCTTTTAATGCTTCAACCGGTATAGCTTGAAGCTGCACAATCTCTACTCTGCAATATACAGAGTCGGGTAATTAATTTTTAATTACAAGCAACGTTTGAATAAATGATTAGGGCTGCAGTGTAAACTGGTAATTACTTTCGCAAAAACACCACTTATTTAGCTGACTTGTTCTTTGACATGCAGAGGTGAAATCAACAGACTTGCTCCGAACGAAACATTTAAAATATCGTACACAATGACCATGAAGTGGTTTGATACGTTTAAGAAGGAGGGTTGTCAAGTGTTATTGCTTCACTTTAACAGTAAATAAATGACTCCAATTTTTTCACTGCGATGGTCACTTTACGAACAAGTCATTTAAGGTCTGAAATAGTTTGATACAAAAGTCCGTACAAAACTTCAACATCTTGAAATAGTATTTGAAAAATTCTGACAAGACAGTAAGATATCGACCTTTACTCTGACCTAAGCTAACAGGCTAGTTTTCTACGCTTGAAAGATGCCTGAATTGATTTGCTAACCAAGGCAATCAAGCGCCCGCATGATGGACAAACCATTCTCTAGACCTTTCAGCATCAGACAAGAATCGCATAAGAAAACCGTTATGTTCTTGATGTATATGTAGAAATATGTAGAAATAAAATCAATATAATCTGTGGCTGGTATCATCTGTAGCAAAAGGCAAGGGGACCTTCTACGAAAAAGGGTCTGTTTTAGCTTGTTTACATTGCAGACAATTGCATAAACTCTTTCGGAAATCACTTTTAACTGCCGGTTCGATAACTAAGTTATACATCAACAATATCTTCTCTCGGTTGATATAGCATAACTTCCTTCTAATTCAGATCAAAGACTCCATAATTTTCCGGATCAATGAAGCTCATCTTTGAAGTAAACATGTCATCTTGCTCCGTAATTTCTTATCTCGTTTTAATGATTTCTTAGAAAACTTTGAATCACTCTAAACATTCCTCCAGCAACTGCCCTTTTCTCCGATTGTAATTATAAAAGTTTTTTTTAAAAATAGTTTTTGTCGGTATTTGAGATCTGTACGTGATCGGTGAAATAGAATGTGACAAAGCTAAGCTTGCATTTATATTTTTAGCCCAAAATTCCGAGAATAGAAAGCTGACAAAAGCTTCTGTAGTCTGCGCTGGTCCTGCATTTCAACTGATATAAATCGAGTTATTGCTTGACTGGTGTTCTGTTTTCAGCTCGAGTCAGAGTTCGGTTTGAAATCTTAGAGCTGGAGTGATTTCAAGGATGACACGGCAGCTGAGTTCACGAGAGAGCAGATATGACATGTACGGATTACTCACTCAGCGGATAAATATAATCCAGTATAATGGCATAATCTGTCTTAAGAGCACAATGTTATCGCGCTTTGCAAGATGTCAATCAGGTTATTCATAACAACAACAATAACAAAAATAACAATTCAACAACAGCAAAGAAAACATAGCGACAAAAACAACATTAACATGAACACATCCTTTTCGTTCGGGGTAACAGGAGCTAATCACGTTCTAACATATTTTTTTTAATTGCGGACCTACATTATGCATTGTTTTCTTTCATGCTAACTGAAGGCGCTCTCCGTAAGAGCAAACATATGGACATATGGAGTTAAACATTAACACAGTGAATGCGGGACAAGCCATTCCTCTAGTTTCCGGCATGTATTCTTAGACCCCGTCCGTGATGCTCACGAAAACCCGAGGGCCATAAGTAAACGCTGCTGCCTACGCTGAAACTATGAAAAAAACAACTGAAAGGAAAATTTACTTCGAATTATTAATGATTTCACTGCTAGACTAACTATAGGTAATTTCTGGAAGAAAAGCTCAAAATGACATGGCTCCTTAAATAAACGGAAGCATAAGTATAACGCTAAAAGCTTAAACAGAAATACATAGTTAAAAGTTAAAAAGGACGAGAAAGTGAAAGAGCGTTTGTGTTAGCCCCAGATTGAAACCACGCTCAACCGCAGTCGCTAAATGCGAATTTCCATTAAAGCAACTTTCAATTGGGTCAAAAGTGTTCCTAGTCACTTTGTTTTTGCTTTACGTTGTTCTGTGATTGGACCAGAAAACTCGCACCACTCGCTCAACCAATCAGATGCAAAACTGACACCAATCGAAACTTGGTCATCTGCGCTTTCCCGCGCTTGCGGTAGTTTGCCTGTTTTAATTTTGAGTTCTCATTGGTTATTGATGACGCAAACCTTTGCCGCGATTGGCTCTTGTAATTACTTGGTTTTGGTTTTACGACAGGGAATTGAAAACTGCTATGTTTTAAAATGTAAGCACAAACGGAAATGATATAAAGTATATAAATTCGTACTACGAAAACATAAGGAAGTAACGCTTTTTTGAGGGGAGCTTCGCCCGAGTTCACCGCAAATAGGAAAAGAGATGAAGTAAATATAATTGGTTTCAGCCTGAAAGCGAAAAGGCGTTTCAAAAGCTCCTGTACTTTCTTATTAGGTCGAGTGTAAACCGTTTCGATGAAACAATGAGATAAAACTCTTGAAAACACGCAAAAAAAAAAAAAAAAGTGAGGAAACAAAAGTAGTCAAACCGAGTCAAGACAAACATAGGCTTCAAATATTTACAAAATTTAGTTTTTTTCAAATAGCAACCTGTGTTCACTTTATCTTAGCATTTTCCAATCCATTGGCAACTCTGTTTGTATTCAAAAACATTTATGTTCTATTTGTTCCTCTACAACAGTTCGTTTCCGACGCGGTAAGAAGAGATGCTCTGGAATACTCCGGCCACGTTCATAAAATGTTCAGTTGTCTCAGTTCAAAACTGTCCAAAAACAAAAGCGACTGAATAAAAATATTTATTTTATTTGCGGATCATGTTTCCCAAACTAAGCTCGACCACGTAAGACCTAACAATGTTTCAGTATTTCTTCAGTGATGATTCATTCCGAGCAGATCTGTAAACTCAACGCAGAAATGAGCAAACTCAAGTTCTTGTCCTACCAGTTAACAGTGTACACTTTACACCTATCGGCTTTACTTGGCTGACCAAAGAAAACTCACATATTTTTCATAAATTATTGAAGAAAAGAATGAATTTGGAGGCGCTACTTGTGAATAACCACGATAATTTTTCGTCCAGCAATTGTCGAGGCATCTCCAGGACTTTATAATTGTGTCCAGTTATAAATTGAAAATAGCAAGAAATTTGACAGACCAGATTACTTTCGGAGGAAAAACAGTTCCTAATATGGAATTGAAGCAGCTGAATTTGAGACGACCTTAAGGCCCTATGAATATTCATTGAGCCCTCGAGCAGACAGCCAAAACCATCTGCCTCAGCGGATTGCTCAAATAAACCTTTCTTGAATTGAACCGAGCGGTCTTTTAACGAAGACAATCTACAACTTCATGTTCGTGGGGGTTCGCTGTCTTCACACGTCGCCGACGACTGCTCGCCATGTTTAGCTTTCAAAACAGAATGCTTCAACAGAAGTCTGGCGGAGTTATGGACAAACGGCCGAAACCGTGCACAAGCGAGGCACTAAGGTCACTTTAACTCTCTATTTTATTAATACATGTCGTAGACAAGTAGAGGCAGCAGTTACTACTTGCTGCGACAAAGTGCGCGCGAGGGCCAAAAACACAACTTCAGCGACGCGTCGCAAGACAATCTTCGCTGATTTATCGATCAAAGTATTTTTTAGGTAGGCAATAATAACGTTTTCAATGGAAGGGCTAAACTTGCGTACGAATTGATTTTTTTTTGCCTGGATTTGTTTTACGATCCGTATGGCTTCTTATTAACATGCAATTACTTATTCAGTTACATTATGGCTCCTTTGGACATTTCCGCGAGAAACATTTAGACTTTACATCTGTCACTCTTGGAGTAAACCTCGCTACTTATAATGTTATCGGAAATATTTCCGAAAGATTCATCCTAATGCACGCTCTCCTTTGTTAAGCTCTCCAAAGCGCAGATGGGACTAGCAAAATCTCTTTAAAACTAGCAGGAACTTTTTTGTTTTGTTTTACACGCTAAACAAGTTGTAACGAGCAACTATTCAAATACAGCTGCTGTGCAACTAATGCATATGCAACAAATAAATAAAAAAAATATATATTACGCGCTACCAAAATCTACATATAAACAGGTACCAGGCATTCATAATTTGTCGCTTTGAAAAAAGGCAGTGAATTAGCAAGTAGCGAGTTAATGCAAATCAAATCAGCATCAAAGATGAGCTTTTTCATAGTGCGGCTAGAATAAATAAGGGTTTTTTTTCACCTTGAAAAGCCGAATTAAATCATAACCATCTGACCGGAATTTACACTATACAACTTTAGAGAAACAAGGAAAGGTCTCAAAAGAAAACGGAGCATTATTTTCAAGTGCATTTTATGATAACATTTCGGTGATCTAAAAAGGTTTATTTCCGAGCGTAAAGGAAGCGACTTTAAACTTTGCTAGAACCGCTCTGATTTTGATGTTTACGGTTAAAAATTTAATATCTCCTCTAAATCGGTTCATGCATTTGTTCTCTGTACGCTTTTTTTTACGTAAAGTGCCGGCTTTTGTAGTCACTTTTTCAAAACAGTGAAATCTCAAGAAAAAAAATTGGAAATGCAAATCAAAATTAACTTTTTAAAGTTTTCCCCCAGAGGGAAAACTACATCACAGAGATTTTCTTATTGATAAATGGCAGTCTTCCCATTTTTGATATTATTGTCTTCTGGTTCAGCACTCTCAGATTCACCTTTTTTATTCTTAGTAATGATCAGCGAAAAACTTTAACGCTCTAAGATCATAGCAATAATTTGGCACTTATGTGTAAACCCGCCAAGGTCATGTTCAAAGCTTCGCCAAGATGCTTTTCAATTTGTTTTCGATTGCGTTTGCTGAAGTTTCGTAGAGTAGTCGTGGGCGATGAATTCCATCAAAGCAGCTTCTAAACAGAGATCTTCGAGAAACAACCATTTATTGAAATTATATTCGATTCAAAAGACAATTGTACTTTTTTTCTTTTTTAATTTGGCCCTTGCTGTGGTTATCCGTTTTTTCCGCCGTGATTAATTAATTAATGAAAACGCTTGTACATAATTGCTTTCTTTTTCCGAGTACATCATAAGTGTTTGTTATTTATTTTCCAAGTTATGAAACCTGTTTTGCTATTATTTTTCATCGGTGAATAACGCAGTGAGAGTTTTTATGTGTATGTTTTCATTCTCTGATCAAAAACCTAAAAAAGAAAAAAAATTTTTACAGCACTGTATTTTGACACTTTTATTTCGCGCTTATATCCGAAAATTTTCGGGAAACTGATTAAAATGCTGTATTTTGTTGGTAATGGCTTTTTGCATGAGCTGAGAAGTCCGTTTTCACAGGTAATTCCTAGTCATCCTATTTCTAAAGGAGACAGTTAAGTTTCGGAAAGCTTTAAGGGTACAAATTTAATGTTAATAATATATTCCGGTTTGGAAGAGGGCCTGAAGAAGAGTTCTATTTTGTCGTGTTTTATTTTATGAAGAGATCACAAATCATTTCATAATCATTTGATTCTTATTGCCTATTGCGTGGACGGACTCGTGCGGAAAATTGAGCGCGCGCGTGTTCTACTTTCGAAATCACTCCCGCGCGACAGCTCATAGGGTTATCTGACCGTGTGCACCAGTCTGAAACAAGTCATACTTTTCATTTTATTTTGCAGTTTAGCTGATGTCTACGAAGGGGCCCTCCGTAATGTATTAGGCATACAACTCCACCTGGCACTTGATGATCAGCAGTCGTTTGCACAGGACGCCATAAATGATCTTCTTTTCAATCGTGAGAAATCTTTACCTGGCCACCACAGGGGAATGCGACACGATCAGAACAGTTGTATAAAGAGGGGAAGCGAAAACCACCAACACAGTCTTCCAAGCGATGGAAATAAAGACATAAAAAAGATAGGCTCCTTTCAGGGGCGCACTTCTCTAAGGGACCCTCTGCGGGTTTCTGCAGGGGGCTCTGCCTTTCACGTCCCCCCAAAGAAGCCACGATTAGATGAAGATATACCTTATTCCGAAAGGGGATTTCCAATGGAACACTACGCGCTTGCCCCAAGGATGACCTTCCCACCGGACTATCCCCCGAATTCCTTCCATTCCGCGAAAGGAGCACCGGGAATGTACAACCGAAGGGTCAACGCGCCCGAAGCTGTGTCTCATGCTTATGGGACAAACGGGATTCACATCCCTTCACCCAGGGATCGTTACTCTCTGTGGTCATTCGGTCATCATCGAGATCTCTCTGCTTTATTTCCGGTGCGGTGTTCTTCTGTTGAAAGCGATCGCAGGCTTCATCGAGGAAGTTTCGAGGACGAGCAACGGAGAACTATGGACTTCGATCGCGTAAATGGATTTATGCACCAGAAAACTGCCGTGCAGGTTAAAAACGAAAAGGACTCGAGAGATGAAATCACTAAACGCGATCAAAAACCAATTTTAACCGAAAAACGAAGCCCTTTGACCTCAGATAAGGAGACAGGACTTGAACGGGATTTGGAAAGAGACAAGCTATCGCCAAATTCTTCGTCTTCACCAAAATCTAAGCAGGTTCACTCTTTATTGATTCCTCGAAGATCGAGTCCAACGCACGGAGCTGTAGATTTTCGAATAAAAACGCGCTACCGAAGCGCGCTTAGAAAACTGGAAACCAGAAGAGAAGGAAGGAAAGGAAATGGTGACGATGATAAAGAAGAGTTTCTGTTCAAGTTAGGACTCGAAAGAATCGATGCTTGAATGGGTTAAGATTCTGCTGATTGACAACTGACAAAATAAATTCGAAAAAGAAAGAAAGACGTTTTCCATGTTAATCCACTGTAAAGTGATCGACGACTTCTACAGCAAGGTGTGACGAAGCAAAATTTACCTTCGACAGGCCAAGCATCTTCTTGAACAAATACAACTCGTGACGCCATGAATTGAGTAACTTGGTAGTTCGCGCATGTGCAAAGATGAAGAAGGAGAAGATTCAGTTAAAAGTAAATAATCATCGTCATTTTGAAATCGGTTAGAGAACGCCTCGACGGAAGCGTGTTTTTCTTTGCGTAATTTAGGGATTTTTTGCCTTTGTCGGGAGGCTTACAAAATATATATATATTTATTGTTGATACTCGAGCGAAGTACACAGCCTCTTATTGCAAAAATTCAGCTTAAATCAGTAAATCTTAAATCTAGCTTACAAATTCGTTCAAAGAGCTGAATATAATGGTCGCAGTCGTCATCACTTACAACTATGGTAGAGATTAAAACTAATTTAGCCAGGTTTTGCTTTTTCTATTTAATGTTAAAGTATTTTGCGACGTTCACTTGAAAGAATGGCCGAAATCATACTAAATTATATCAGTGATATGAAAACAAATCTTGTTGAAATGAAAATAAAGTGCAATGTTTATCAACTGCAACGCAATTGTGGTTAACGACAAAACTTGCTACAAGTTGTTCTAAACTGAGTCAAAGCTGACTTATAGATAGCTAGGCTGCCTGTAATAAAAAGATTTTTCTCCTGCTTTGGACATTCTTTGGTATCATCGACAAAAAAGTGAAAAAGATCAATCAGTTTTTGCACGGAAGGAAACCAGTGGAACGCGATCGAGCAAAGGGGGTAAAATTCCAGAGAAACTGCGGTGCCGCATCACATGGTAGGTGGTATCGGGTGGTATCACATGGTAGGTGGTATCGGGTGATATCACATGGTAGGTGGTATCGGGTGGTGTCAAAATTAAGGTAATTTGTTGTTTTCAACCGAGGTGATATTGTAATCTAACACCGTAGAGAGATCAGTAAAGTATTAGCCCTTCGTCACACGTGAACGAAGAACACGTGTTGATGCTTGCGTGTGAAAGGAGATAAAAGTTCAGCAGTGATTCCATTTTCATTTCATAGAGCTACGAACTACCTACGAAGGTATCCCAGCTAGTTCTGTTACGGTGAGATTCCAAACTTTAAAACAAACAGGCCCAATACAAATGTCTTCTATCGGAAAAATATTTACAAGCATCGAACGTGCTCCAAAGGTGGGTAAAGGAAACAAAAGATTAGTCAACTTGTGTAATGTTACGCGCAAACTGTAACTCGTTCCCAGTTCTCTTATTTTTCACTCGCGGTATTGGGATTTTGATAGAGTGGCATGGCACTATCACTCCCTCTCCTTGCCTGCAGGTCCGAAAATTCGACAGATATTGCACTTCTTTCCTGTTTTTGTTCTGCTATTTGAATAGAAAATAGAAAAATATCAGTTCCAACTAGAGTTGATAGTCTCTTAGTTCCATGCAGATTTTAGACTGCAATTTTTTTTTAATTGCTCTCGTTCCTGCTCTTCGAGTCCGAGTCGAAAGCCTTGAAGTAGTCAGCGGTTTTCCTTCAAAAGGTATGTTTCATTAGATTGATCTGTCACGAAAAATTAAGATCAGTGGAAAATGTAGACAAAATGTCCTCTTTACTGTTGAATTCAAAGAAACCCGTAGTGCAGTTTGAGAACAAATGGCATGAGCTTAAGCCCACAGTTAATAAACTTTTGAAACAACAAGCCGTCACAACGCAAGAATGGCAGAATCTCTTCTGGTAGGCCGAAAATTATTATATCGTAGCTTCCATGTAATTTTGTTTTCAATGGCGACTGGACGGCGGTCGTTTGTAAAAGAGTTACCTTTGTTCAAAGAATCAGTCAGACCGGCAATTGTACTTAAACCAAGGAAGTTCGTAGTTTTCTCTTCGCCACTAACCTCATAAATCAATTTTCGGCTGGCTACAAAATCGATCGACCAACATGTTGACGCTGCTGAACCGCATTGTAATGTGCGTTACATAAAATTAACTTAGACGTTCAAAAAGGCTTACTGCACCTTTTTTTACTCAGAATTTTAGCCTGAATATGAATTTTTGTAGTGTCTCTTTGCTCACACGAACTAAAAAAAAATTATTTTCTCATTTTTTTACGGGAAAAAAACACTCTTTATTTCTTGCAGCTGTCCATGGTGCTATTTCCATAGGCAGATATAGATACTTGTCTAATATTGACGTTATGAATAAACAGGAAACTCTACAGGGGATCTAACATGATCCCCAAGGAACAAAAAAATTTACCTTATCAAGGGGATTTTTCAAATGTTGTAAGGATCAAAGCCTTGAATTAGCCTTAGATTTAACTCTATAACTCCCAATTGATGTCTGATTGTTAATTCTCCCCTCTTGCTGCTACAGATTTTCTGGTAAATTTGTTATGAGAATTAGATGTTGGATCAAGATAACAACTTCTACCTGATGAGTTTGTTTTCTTGTTACCTACTTGCTAGGTAATGTATGGATTTTTTTAGGGAGAAGTTACAAGTTTATCACCTGGGAGTTTGAAAGTTAACCCTTTACCCCCCAGAGGTGATTATCATGTGATTTCTCCCTATACTATTCATACAATATCCAGCAAATGGGTCATGAAAATACTCAAACTTATCAGGTAGAAGTTGTAATCTTGATTCAACACCTAATTCTCAAAACTGATTTACAAGGGAAAATATATTAGCTAGAAGGGAGAATTGAATTAACAATCAGATCTTAGGAGTTTGAAGGTTAAAGATCACTTGCATAGTCTGGATGACCACTTAATTACAATTGGTCTAACATTTGCCATTTTAACATGGCTTGGTATCAGGACAACTTTTTGATCAACACAACTGAAACATCAACAGCAGGAATCTTCAAGAGACTTTTAGACCGAAAGCTCTAGTTTTTATATCCATAACCTTGAAGCTGACAAGAACCTTACAGACCAATATCAAATAATTGGATAAGGGCTTTAAACATTGGACTAGAATGAAATTGTTTTCAAAAGGTCATCTGCAAGTTTAATTTTTAAATTAAAACCTATGACTCCTATAGCAGATGCCAAATTTAAAGTTCAGTTGTTCAAAGCTACAGTGTACTGCTCCTTTCATTCAGATATAATTGACAACAAAACTACTTTTTATAATTTTGATACCTTTGCAGAGTGTTTATAAATTTGGATATATCAGCAAAGTTAAAGTGGTAAATTGGCCGCCATAACGATGACAAAAGCTGACATTTCGAGCATTAGCCCTTTGTCGGAACGAATAGAGGAATTGTGGTTTGTGTGTGCTTTTAAAGGCAGAGAATGGAGCTATGTTATTGGTGGGAACATGGCAACGAGAAAAACAAGAATAAATTAGTGGAATGAAAAGCGTTCGTTGATCCCTGTGGGATTTAGACTGCCGGTTTGAAAGATGAGCTTTTGTTCAAGATTTTTACGGCTTTCCGTGCTACCTAAGTGTAAGGAAAGACCGCAGATTGCCATATGTTGCTTAGAATGATTAGGTAAATTAAAATGTCTAGCAACTGGTTTCGATGTGTCCTTGTCATTCCTTTCCACGTCTCGAAGGTGTTCTTGGAATCGGTCACCTAGTCTTCTGCCTGTTTCGCTGATGTATATCTTTTTGCAATAAGTGCAAGTTATGCAATAGATTACATTGGCGGAGGTGCACGTGAAGTTTATAAATTTTTTTCACTCATTCAACATTTAACAATTGGTTCATATGTCAGCATGCATTCATCGAGATATGAAGCACGCGGGAAGTTTGGAGAGCACGAAAGATGCATAAGAGTTGCTAGAGGCATAGCTGAGAGCAACTCTAGCTTCTTGAGTGCTCTCCAAACTTCCCGCGTGCTTCATATCTCGATGAACGCACAGCTGATGTATGAACCAATTGTTTTATAACATTTTCAACACTGTAGTTTATGTATAAAGGGCAGAAATTCCCTCTCCTACGCTTCAATGAGTTGTTTATTTTGTTTCGGAAAAGTATTTCATCATGCTTCAATGATCTTGTCTCAGATTGGTCAATCTGACAGGTGCATTCATGCGTGAAAATGAAGTTAGAGTTGCTAAACAGGATGAAACCGTTGATTTGTTTTCCCTTTCTCTGGACTCTTTCTCGGGAGTTAATAATAATAATAATAATAATTTGATACTTATATTGCGCAAATTAACATGTGGATACGATCAAATGCGCATCACAACACTTTTCGGGGGACTTTGGCCAGACTGCATCAGCAGTTTACAGGCAATCGAAGGAAACTTATTTGAAGATGCCCCTGCCCCCCAATTCCCAGTAAACAGGCCAGACCACATCACAGTAATCTCGTGAGTGGGTTCTTTAATGTCCCCTGCCTAACCAAATTAACTAATTAATAGATGCAGGAGACGGTTAAAAAATCCATTCCCAAAGAAAAAGTAGGCAGATCTTCATTGGCTCTTTTGCTTGTTGCCATGTCTAGTTTAACTTTTTTGTGGAAGTTTTTCCTGTTTTTTAATGAAAAATGCTAAAGTCACTCTCGAGAAAAAATGTTTTCGCGAGGCATTTGTTTGATGAAATCACCAGCGTGTACAATGGAAAGTTGAAGCACGCTTGCGCTATTGAATTTGATTGCACGGATTTACAAGCTATGTTATAATTCTATTTTGTCAAACTTAGGGATGTACACAAAGTATGTAACTGGGATGAAAAGGGACCCCAAAAAGTATACAAAGCTTTGAAAGATGAAGTCACCAACTTTATTAAACAAGTACAAGAGGTAAGCAAGCATTTTATTCCTTCAGCGTTTTGGTTGAGAGGTGAATGTTACTATACTTGTCCAACACATACATTGACTTTCCTTCAACCACATTTTTCAGGGATGATCATCTTTCAAATTAATCTTAATGGTTTTTTTTTTTTTTTACGGACTGGAAATGGTACACTTTATGACCACCTGACAGAAATAAAAGTGAAGGTTTGACAATGGTTTACAAGTGATGATTACTCACAGATATCCTCTTTTCAAGGGGTGAATTGTTTGCTTTGAAAATGATTTAGCACTTAGTAAATGAAATTGAGAAATGGTGACTCCTGTAGAGAAGGAGATACCCTGCGAGTAGAGCCTTTTTAACCCGTCCTCGAATCGAAAAGGGAAAAAGGCTCTGCCGACATCCTGTTGTTGCTCGTTTGAACATGCGCGGCGGTTGCCTAGAAACTGATCCTTTTCCAGGCCCTGGCCCTTGAACTATTGTGGGTGCAGATTTGGTCATCTGTGTACATGAAAAACAAAGGTGTACACACTAAAACCGGTTTGACTGCATGCAAAACTGGCTTGACTAGCCCGGAGATTTGGGCTTTCAGCATTTCAAAGCTCAATATTCAAAATTACTAGTATAACAAAATGATAATAAAGAAATCCAGAGCTCACAGAACTACCAAGCAATGAAATACACACAGTGGGCTGATTTTTAACTTCTCCATGACCTTTTAAAATATATCCTTGGCCTTTTAAAATCTATCCATGGCTATTACAACCCAATGGTTAGTGTGCTGGACTGCCGGTCAAGAGGTCAGGGTTCAAGAGCTGGCTAGGTCATTGTGTTAGGTTCTTGACAATGCCCTTTAGTTTTCTAGTTCCTCTCTCCACCAGGAGAATGAATGGGTACTGGCGAATTGTCAGGGAGGCCTGATCAAATGCTTAAGGTTAATCTTGGGCTGGACCAGCATCCCATCTAGGGGGGAGTAGTAATAGCTATGGAAACCAGGACAAGCCTTGGTTGGATGGGCCACTTGGATCCACCACAGACTTTGCCTAAATTAGCTACTCTATATACTGTACAATCACTGCTACGTATGATGCATGATCCTCGCAGTAGAGAGCGCTATTTATGCAGTAGCGAAAATCAGACCTGAAAAAAATCAGGCCTGTATGGGATTCGAACAACTGACCTCTGCAATCCTAGTGCAGCGTTCTACCAATTTAGCTAACAAGCCAACTGGGAGCAGGCCGTTAAGTTGATTCGTAATAAACCCGTGATGATAAATCAGATACAATGAATATATGAAGTTCATATATTTTGAACTGCGGTTATAGATATGTATGATGCACGATCCTCGCGAGGATCCTTGTGAGGATCGTGCATCATACGTATCTATAACCGCAGTTCAAAATATATGAACAATCACTGCTGTAGAATCTTTTTGAGTGAATCTGGAATGTTTTTTCATGTAACCATAATAAAAAACATTGAAACTTTTGTCTTTCAGCGTGTTTTGAAGCATGAAGATGACTCCACTTTGTTACGTGCCTATATTAGCGAGTGGTCTAAGTTCTTCACTCAGTGTAACTATCTCCCTAAACCTTTTGGCACTTTGGAATCAAACTTACAAGGAAAAGCTGGTGGAGGGGCAAGCAAAAGGCCTCTCACTGATGGGATAACAGTTCAAAAGGTGTGATATTTTTCTTTAGAGGAAAGAATGAAATAATTTATGGTCTGATTTTAATATCACTGACTGAGATACTTTTTTTTTGTTTCCTTTTTCATAGTTGATGCTGGATAGTTGGAATGAAGGTATATTCTCTACAATAAAATCAAGATTGCAGTCAAGTGCCATGAAACTGGTTCATGCAGAGAGGAATGGAGAAGCTTTTGACTCTCAGCTTGTCATTGGCGTTAGAGAATCATATGGTATGGAAAGTGCCATCTCTATAGAAATTTTTGATTTGAAATGTAATAAGATTGTGAGTAGTAATTTAGCAAATGCATGAGTCAAGTGGCAAGTTGGTCAATCCGTCAGTGGTATAGTCAATCATACCATCAGTCAGTTAGCCAGCAGGTCTTTGTCTGTCTGTCGGAAGGTCAGTCATTTAAAAGAAAATTTGGTTGTATAATCTGAGTTGATATGTGAATTAGCTGCCAAAGAGAGATTCTAAAGCTGATACTTGGAACATTAGACTTTAGATTGAATAGAGGAGTTTGGATTGTAGGTGGTTTATGTACAGAAAGATGGAGCCAAGCTAATGGCAGGAATGCATCAAAATAAATGCACAAGAATTAATTAATTGAATGAAAGTGTTTGCTGATATTGTGGGAATTAAGAGTGACAATTTGAGAAATAAATAATTTTTGTGAGTTTGGTGGCTTTCCAAACTGCTTAGATATTGAGAAAGGCTACAGACTGCCACAAATTACTTAGAATGATTAGGGAGATTTAAGTGTCTAGTGACTGGTTTGGTTATGTCTTTGTCATTATTTTCACTCTGGATATATGTCTTTTGTGATATAGTCAGTGAGTCAGGAAATGAGTCAGTCAGTCAGTCAGTCAGTCAGTCAGTCAGTCAGTCAGTCAATCAGTCAGTCAGTCAGTCAGTCAGTCAGTCAGTCAGTCAGTCAGTCAGTCAGTTAGTCAGTCAGTTAGTCAGTCAGTCAGTCAGTCAGTCAGTCAGTCAGTTAGTCAGTCAGTCAGTCAGTCAGTCAGTCA